AACTTATACCTATCACACGGAGCTTAACACTTGCGCTCCACCTGTCGGTTCTGCAATGCAAAGTGCCACGAGTGTGGGATAACTAACGACATCTGGAAAGTGTGCACACAGCCCGCTGCACAGCCATCAGCCCAGCAAGGAGCAAGCCCTATGTTTTCATTACGAACCCAAAGTCAGTGCGGCCAGTTCATGTACAAAGATGTAATACTACAGTTTTATGCTCAGCACAAATTTATTGTGGACACAGGGAGTATGGAATCTATCATTTCTACTGAAGCATTACGATTGTTCTTTCCAGAAGCCAAAGTACATCCAGCGTCCGTATAGATTCGTGGTATTACGGAACATAAACTCCAACGAGTGGTGGAATTGCTTTTAATGGTTTCGATTAGCGAAAAATTGCTTCATTCCTATTCGTTTTCCGGTCGCCGAGAGCATTCAATCCATCCTGAGTTTGAACCCCATAAGTGAATGAAGCCAATCTGTGTCATATCAGTCCTGTGCAAACTACCGACTGTCCATACCCAGCGGCGGAGACTGATCGTGAACAGTTCCACTAATGTCGATGGTAGGGGCGGACAACCATCCAGGTTGAAAGTTACTGGTCACTGACAGTTGCACACAACATCATATCACCCCTGCTCGCAAGATAGCGCGTAGGATTGGATGAGAACGGTTGAAAGTGCTATGGTTTCGGCAAACCAGAGGACGATATCGGAGTTTGAAGAACTGTGAAAAAATTCCCTACTGCAGTGCAGGAATGCGATGCAACTCAACAAAACAGATGGATCGGGTAAACCGCGCAAATTGCGATCCTCGGAGCAATCGTTTGCCTCGATCGAGGATGCAATAGACCACCAAGGCCGAATCGGCCAAATCCATTCAGAAAAGCCGGCTAATTCTAGCGAGGACTTCACTGACTCAGCGTTTCCAAATACAGAAATCCTAAACCAGTAACCCGGTGCTGCTGAAATGCCTGCTGAAGTGACTGCTCCCTTTGCACTACGAAGATCAATCATAAAAAAAGCAAATTGAAGGAGCTCTTTTGAGGGAGGAGAGTTGTGGCGGTCCTCGTCTACGGGTGTGTGTGATCAGTTGTTGACCAGACTATAAGGAAGATGGGCGTAGTGGGCGAAGTCGGGACACCGGTACATTTCGGACAGTAATTGATATTGCGAGTTACTTTTATTCACTCGAATACGATATTTGTTCGGCTGATCATGGTTTGTAGATCTCCAAGCGTCCTTCTGTAAAATGAACGACAATCTGTTTTCCAAGAACAGTTGACTGAACCTGGTAATTAACCCTAGATACCTTTTTATGTATGAGAGAGAGTTTTGATTTATTAGTTCGCGTACGATTCTTAGACTAAAATAGTTCCTTTCAATTGTAATAACCGATCCTAATTGTCCATTGGATTTCATACTATTGATCCTTATCATCAATTGCCCCATTAGATGAACAAATAATTCACTGATAACACAGTGCCGAAAGGTACATCATCCTCATCATCATCATCATACGAATCATGATCATCATCAGAATCATCCGTTCATCCGAATCATCCAAATCATCTGAATCACCATCATCATCATCATCGTCATCGTCCTCCAAATCATCATCACATTAATCAGCAGAATCATCTTCATCATCATCATCCGAATCATCATCCATATCATGCGAATCATCATCATCAACATCATCATACACATCATCATGATCATGATCATGATCATCATCATCATCATCATCATCCGAATCAGCATCATCATCATCATCAGCATCATTGTCATCATCATCGTCATCATCATCGTCATCATCATCATCATCATCATCATCAT